TTTCAACTACACTGTCCACTCGAGTTAAGCAAACTCACAGTGTTGGACAGACAGCCCATCTCTAAAATGTTTTCATCTTGCTAAAATGAAACTCAAACCCACTCAACAAAACTTCCCATACCCACCCCATCTTAAGTAAGACGGCAGCCACCATTATACTTATGCCAAGGATTTGAGCTACTGTTTACCTTTTGTAAGTGGAATTATAAGGGGTGTACCTTTTTGTGAATGGTTCGTCTTATCCAATATAATGTCTCAAGGTTCATCCATGTTACAAATGTCTCATGACTCCCCTCCTGTTAAAATTGAGGTATATTCCATGATATCATCTATCACCTTCGGTTTGCTCTTCTTCTCTCAGGTGACACAAATGGCTCTCTTCTTTTGGCTGTTGTAGAAAATGTTACTGCAAACACATGTTTAAGAACATGGCTTTAATTCCCTTTGCCGTAGACCCATATGAGGCATTGTGTGAATGAACATCTACTCCAAAACTCCAAAGTTTAGACAGCAGAGCAACAGGTTTCTCAGCTAAACCTTGCTTTTTAAAGGGGAGGGTGAACTGAGCATATCAATAAATGAAGAGGTCAGAGTGTGGAGCACATCCCCAAGTGAGGGGCTCTAGAGACTATGAAATAGAGAGGGGAGGAGACGGCTATGGTGGTATTTTATTTGTACTGAAATGTGATTTTAATTGTATGTTAAAAATAAAGTTGCCTGGGGGTCAGAGCTATTTGAGCCATAGCAAGAGCTGGGCGTTGGTGGTGCACACCTTTAATCCCAGCACTTGGTAGGCAGAGCTAGGTAGATCTCTATGTGGTCAAGGATACAGCCAACAGACAGTGACAAGGCAGTCATGTGGTTGGTTTTACAACCAATGAGAAGGCAGAACAGAAAGTCTATATAAAGACAAACAGACAGGAAGCAGGTCTCTTTTTCAGAGAGGTCTCAGCTTAAGAGGCTAGCTGCAGCAGGCGGGTAAGGCTCTTAGCTCTGATCTCTTGGCTTTCTTCTTAACATTGGTTCTGTGTTTCTTATTTAATAAGACGGTTGGTTACATCTACAGTCGGTTGCTTGTAAGGGCAAGTTGAGAAAAGCCCTGGGGAAATGGGTGTGAGTGGCTGAGGGAAGAGAGTCCTGCATAAAGAAAACATGTCATGCAAAGATCATGAGTCAGATCCACCTCTGATGTTTGAGGCTAGGAAGTGTGTATCGAAAAATCACTTAATGTAATTTATTATTCACTTAAGAATTAAACTTCAATCAGTAACATCTTTTATAGACTAAAATATATAAATTCCCTAAAGGGTTTTGATTTGATCTTTAAGATAAAGCCATAGACAATACCTCTTTCTTCTATTTTCTTACAGCAGAATTTTCATGTAGATTCAGGTTAAGTCATGTTAAGTTGCTACTTTCTCCATACCGAATGGCTTCTTAAGAGGAAGCTAATGAGGCCACTTAAGCTGACCTTGTTAAGTGGCTACTCATATTTCACATTGTGTGCTCACCTTTCCTTATATTGAGGTAACAAGACAACACACACACACATACACACACACACACACACACACACACACACACTCGATTCGCATTACAAATGCAGTCAATTAATTACATTTCCACTTAACATTATGAAATGTACTGGCTTCATTTTGCATAAAATCTACTTAAAGCCACATTGTCTTAAACACAGCCCCTTCTAAATGAACCACACCGTACACTGGAGACTGGAAATATAAATGATACTGAAAATGAATCCTCTGTCAGAAAACATAATTCTGAGGCATAGTTCCAATGACTGAAGGGCTGTACAATGTGAAGAGACCTTAATAACCATGACAATTACAGTAGCAAAAGCTTAGAGAGCCCTGGTAATACATCAGGAGTTCTATTAGGCACTCAGAACGGGCTGCTTCATTTAGTCCTCACAGCTCTAAGGGTATTTGATTAATTACTATCTGCTGTAACTCTGAAAAGGCCAAGGTTTAAGAAACCCTTTGCCTGAGATTAGAATGCAGTCTTGTCTGGTTCCTGGTATGCATGCTTGGGAACCAAGCTCTGCCCCTGCCCTCTTCATCTCTTGTCCCTTTCCCTGCTGCTGACTGTCTAGTAATGGAGTCTCCGTGTCATGCATAATTTTATTTTTAAATGTATGTAAGTTTCCCTATAAAATGTGTCGAGTTTACTTTTCTTGCTCCTCACACCCTAGACATCTTGGCATTACTTTAATGTACACTTAAAAACATGAACGGTGTTACGTTTCTTTTTCCCTCTGTTTTCTGTGAACTAGGCTTTTATTTTAAGGTATATCTTATGACAAGTCAACCCTCATGAATGTTTTGAGTTTCTGATCTTTTCCTGGTGATGTTTCAGGAGGGTGTGCTGTTTCAGCACACAGGATATCCCTGGAAAAAGTAGGCCTTCCTAGCTGTGATGAACTATGCCTAAGAAACCATAACCCAAAATAGGCTCCTCTTCTCCTTGGTTATGCTTGTCTGGTGTTTTGTCCCAGAGATGAGAAAAGTAACTACTACTGAAAATTAGTATTGAGAAGTGGGGTCGTTGCTGTACTAAAGCTGGGATACCAGAAATGATGTCTTGAGAGCCCAGGTCATCTCCTCAAAGACTCTAGTGTGTAAAATTAGAAATGTACTGGGAAATCTTTCATGTAAAAAAAAGAGGGCTTGTAAACAGAGTGCCTGAAAGGATCAACCAGGGTACCTAGAAATGCGTTTTGCCCACACAGGCATCCAGAGACCCCTTAGCCATGATCTAAAGGGTCCAGCAACATCTCAAGCTGTCATCAGAATTTGGTATCATCCATGTAGCAGCTGTAAGGGTGGGAGGGCTCCAGGAAAGTTTGCTCATAGGTTCCAGGAAACACCTCTGAAGCCACTCAGTGTATGGTGACATCTCAGTCCCTGCAGAGTCTCTGCAAGGCCCGTCCATGAAGGAGTAAGGATGAAGTCTAGCCTGCAGTGGAGAGCCCAGGTTGTTATGAACGGCAGGACAGTGAGACAGCTGCTGTCCTTCCCAGCCCTGTTTGGAGATGGGAAGGTTCTGTGCCATTGCATGGTAGGCATGTGCAACTTGCTTCTTGATTTACAGGAGCTTACATTTAAGAGTTTTCCTTCAGTGTCAGAAGAGATTTCAGGATTTTCAATGGTGTTGAAACTGTTAAGACCACGAAGACTCTTGAAGTTAGAATAAATACATCTTCCATGACTAGATAGCCAGGAGCTTTTGAAGCTAGAGAAGAGTGTAATGACTTGAATCTACAATGCCCAACCACGGGATCTTGTTTTGAATTATTGAGCTTCAGCTGATAGTGGTTGTGGGAGCTGGAGGTTTGGAAACACTGTAGAACCTTTGGGCTCGTGGGGCCTGTGTGGTGACCAGGAAGGGATGAGCTTTGAAAGTAATACTCACTTCTGGCTCCAGTGTGTGCTGTCTGCCTCCTGGTCCATCATGGAACAAACTGTTACCTCAAGCACATACAGCTGTGAACTGAGTTGCTCCCACCACCATGCCTCACCATGATGGGACACACTCTCTGAAGGTGTGGCCAACATAAACCTCTCTCCACCTGAGTTGTTTCTGTCAGATGTTTATCACAGAGGCAAGGAAGGTCATACAAACCTAAATAAAGTTTATGAACTTTCTTTTCCCCGTCATTTGAGATGCTGCTGCCATTCATTGAATTTACTTGAGTTTTTCCTAGAGTCACTTTTTGAATGACCAATGCTGATGTCTTATAGCAGTACCACACTGTTTTAAACATGTGACTAAATAACAAAATGCTATAGTAATAGGACAATTAAAATTGCCGCTATTTTCCCATGTATTCTTTAAAAATATGTAGAAGGAAATGTTTATAAGATAGTTAATGTTAAATAATTTTTATCTTTTCAATTCAATCTCTGTTGTTTAAATAATATAAGCATCTGTGTGTTTATTTTATAAGTGGGTTGTCAGGCTGCCGGGGCTTGGTGGGACCTGGAGAGAAAACTCTCTAGCTACACTCTGCACATAATGAAAATATATCACTACTTACAAGAATCTTTCTTCATATTTTTTCCCCAGAAGTGTTTTTCAGTTTTATTTACAGGTATCTAGATGTGGAGAAATGCTCACATTTGTGAAAAGGCAATGTGTACATGAATGTTCGTGGTAGCACATGATATAATTAGGCAAGATTTTATTTATGTCTGGGAAAAATCCATAGCAAGAAGACGTGCTAGAGTCCCCCACACCCTTTCAGCAGGATCCAACAAATATCACGCTGGCCACAACAAACAAGCTGAAACATCATTTTTTCAAGAGGATGCTATTTCCATGGTGCATTGAGCAAACCACAAAGGGAATTTAGGTGCAGATGAAACTCAAACAGATATTTAAGAAAAGCATTAAGAACAGCAGGGGAAAAAACCCTCGTGACAATGACTACCTCTGCAGAAGGGAGGTGATCAAGAGCCAAGAACAAAGGGTTTCAGCTGCATTGTCAATGCTTGATGCCTTAACCAAGATGGCCGTCTCAAAAGCATGTGCATGGCTTTGAAATACTGTTCAGTACGTTTGAAATATTTTATACTAAATCATAAATAAAACCACTATCACTTTTGCATGACCATTTAGTAACAAGAAAGCTTATTGAATTTTCCTCCTGCTTCTATGAATATTCTAGCTCAGTCGGTAGAGCATGAGACTCTTAATCTCAGGGTCGTGGGTTCGTGCCCCACGTTGGGCGCCAGATATTGGAGAAATTATTTTGGCCACTCCACGTAGTTAAAAGGATATTTATTTAATGGCATAACTCACAAATTAAGTGAAAGGTAGGTCGCAGGGTCTGGGAAAGGCATATCGCAGCCCAGCGGTGTTCTCTGGAGCTCTGCTCAGTTCACCTCCAACGTTCAGTGTCCCGGCACAGAGAGAGCTGGCCCATCCAGCTCTCAGGTCTCCAGGCGCCTCCCCTGGCCCCGCCTCGAAAGCGTGACAGTTGCCAGAGTCTCAATGGGGGTTGGAACTTCCAGATCCAAGCTGAAATGGCTACCACTACAATTTAGTAACAAAAAAGCTTATTGAATTTTCCTCCTGCTTCTATGAATATTTTCATTAGCTAATGATGGGGTTTCCAAGGAGTTAATCATATCCTATTTGAAAATATTGTCCATGTCTTACCAAGTTATCGAGCTCTGATTGCATTTTCTGTAATTTCCGTTTTACATGTCCAGAATGTTTTACAACGATGGCTCTGGAAGTTGCCTATTTTATTGTTCATCATCAAACACAGTGTAGATTATTATTCTGACATAATGACAAGAAATATGAAACAAAGCTTGTGCATGTATGCGACCAAACACATATTTAATGTGTATGTACTGTTGTGTTTTTTATTTCATCTTACTACAAGGAACCTTCCATTTACTTTGAATTGTTGTTATATGTTACTTATCATAAGATCTTCATATATTTGATGATCACATGGTTTTCCCTTATTTGATCTACTAGTGAGAGTACTATGAAGGACACACATGGTGCTACATGCCTGCAATCCCATCACTCAGAAGGTCATCACAAGTTCAAGACCAGCCTAGGCCACAAAGCGAGGAGGAGAATACACATATGCAGAAGTTACTTTTCTCCTTCTGATGAAAGCAAATTAAGGAAGGAAGAATTCATTTTGACTCAAAGTTGGAGGGTGCCACCCATCATGGAGACCAGGAAGTGCAGAAGGAACAGAAGATGACTAGCCATGTGCCCACGAGAAGCAGCAGAACAATACTGGTGCTAAGATGGCTTTAGTCTCAGTACCCAGCCCTGGACCCCATGAGATGATGCCACCTTATTCAGGGTGGACCTTCCTTGCTTGCTTAAATCTTTCTGAAAACGCCCACACAGACACATCCAGAAGTATGTTGCCATGGTGATTACAAACCCCGTCAAGTTGGTATTAAGATTAAGCTGCACGCTGTACTGATAGATGTTCTCAGGTTGAACCACCCTTACATTCCTGCAGCCTGCACTTAGTACGATACTTTTGAAAACAGTCACCGCTGTTCTATCTGCAGATGCTGCGCTGCAGTAAGTGCTTCTATAATTCAAGGTGGGATGGATTGAGCAGTTTTGTTCTGCCCCCTCTGTGATACGGTTGGACTGGCATCCATAAGTAATGGGAAAACTTCATTCTTTCTGCTTTAGGGGAAGAGTCTAGAATTTATCAGTTCCTTAAAGATGTGGAAGCATCCCCTTGGAGAGTACAAACTTTGAAGTGGAATATACAGAGTCCTTTTTGACCATTTTCTTATTTTCTCCATCTCCAGGGATTTCTTGCAATTTCTTTAGAAATGAAATCCAAGCACAGCATTGTCTTCCAACCACCACAGCTGTGATATCATGCAATTTTGCACACTTTTCCTGCTGCAGATAAAATGACTTGTGCAGGCAGAAGGCGTATTTGACCACCTGTACAATGAGTGTTTTATTTGCAGAACTTTTTTTTTCCAGACTTCTCTTTTGAGTATTATCAAATTGCCTCCATCATTCTTTCCTGTTATGATTACCCACATAAAAGATGGTAGAGTGGAGAGAAAATACCAGTCTTTCATCTGTGAGATGAGAACTTCAATATGCCTGACAGCAAATTTTCGGCTAGTTACAGAACATAAGCAGGATTAGTACCCTTCTAAGAAAGGAAAGTCTGTTGCCAGTGTGTTGTGGCCATCTATTCTATTCATGTGGAAGAGAATATTATCTAGTATCTTGTCTATTTAGCATTATGGGCTGAGCTGACAGGCTCGAGAGCTTATAGCTCCAGTCCCTGAATACTAGAAACTTATGCCTCAGGCATTGGAAGTCAGAGCTTATAGCTTCATGTTCTCAAGACAAAGGCTAGATGCTCTGAGAACTGATTTCCAGTGGGCTGGCACCCAACCCTACCTAACGAAATCTTGGCTCTAAGCAGTGGTTAGTAATCAGTGCAGCTGGTGTGATGGGTCCTAAGTCTTGGGTCTCAAGACTCATGGCGCCTAACAATGAACAGTGTGCAAGCTTGCAACCTTTAGGTGTCAGGATTCTCCAGCCCTTATGGTGGCTCCTGTCACACTTCTCAGACTGTGGGACCCTTGACCGGTAGGGCACAGTCGCCCTCTAGAATTTCCCAGTGGATGGAGCTCATCTCTGGTTCTGCCTTCTGCTGTCTTGGCACCCTGTCTTCACTTTCCTTCTCTCTCCTTCTGTCAGCCTTTGTCGTCTTTATCAGCCTTGGTCATCTTTACCTTAGCAGCATCCAGCAACTCCCCGGCCACCTTTATGTTGCCTCTGCTGCTGCTGCTATACCCTCTTTAAGACACCATCTCTGTCTACTCTAACCATAGTGAAGGTCCAAAATAGAACAGACTGTTTAGAACTCTCTTCTTGGGTCCCAATGTCACAACACCAAGCACACCACAGAAGAATGTCTCCTGGCTGCCTTGAAAAATAAGCTACACAGAAGAAAGGGCAGTGTGCTCAGAACAGTCTGCCGGGCACAAGGGAAGAGCCTGATGGCTGCTGTTCAAGTGATCTACAGCCCACTTCCAACCATTTCACTCATTCACAAAAATAATAAATAATGAATGGTACCTTCAAAGGAGACCCAAAAGCTGAATGAAAAACCAAGAGTCTTAGCAATATTGAATGATGCCTAAGCCCTAGCTAAGAGCTGAAGAAAACTGAGGTAGCTCTAATATGTCTCAAACCAATGAAACACAGGCTGGGAGAAAAAGATAAATGTAGATGTTTCCATGGTGGTATATCAAGATGGCAACCATAACAACCCTTGTATTTCCTTCTGAATTCGATGCATTTCTACCAGGAGATTGACACTGAATGTCAATTAAGAGTATTTGTTGAAAAATGTTAGTCAGGATAATAAAAAAAAATCCTCAATTCTGGTATCATGAACAAAGTGAACACAGAAATTTATGGACAATGACCTTCCAAATCACAACCAAAACACACTGCTGCCAACTTTTTTTTAATCTTCTTTCCTTTCTTTTGAGGTGAGGTCTCACCCTGCAGCCTACACTGGCCTTGAACCTCAGATTCACCCTGCAAGGGCCTCACTAATACCAGGATTACAGGCCTGTACCACTATGCTTGCCAAATTTGAATTTTTAAAGTCACCTTAGATTGCTGTATGACTAACTCAGAACAGAATTGATGATGACCATTAAGATGGCCGCCATCATTTTGTAAGTGTCCCAGAAATATGCACTAAAACTGATTAGATGATTTTAGTTTAAAAACAAGCAACAGAGACCCGGAAGCTCGCTATTCTCTCTGTGTGTAGTTCTGAAGTACTGACTGTAGTCTTCTTAAGCCTCAACTACTAGCTCATGGATGCATTCACAGTGTGCATTTGGGTAATCAGCGTCTCCTCCCTGATCTTGTTTTACCTTTAACTTATACTTTAGCTTCTATCTGGCCAGTTCTATACATGATCTTATCTTGCCTGCCACTGTATAAATGCAAATCTAGCAGGAGGGAGGAGCTTGGCTGCAGTTATTACAGAGTCCTTTCTCAGGTTCACTCTGTTAATTCTTCATCTAGTCTTCCAGCTCTTCCATTTCCTTCAGGAACATTTAGCAAGTTCGTCTCTAAACACCTGTCTTCCTGTCATAAAGATGCCCTCACCATGAGTAGGAATAAGGATTGAACACAATGTCATTTATAAGCAGCGTATTCTCTTTTTAAAAAACTTTTATTCTTCTCTCATACATTACATTTTGACCTCCTCTGTTTTCCTTCCAAAAAAAAAAAAAAAAAAGTAGCAAGCCTCCAGGGATATCCACCGAACATGACCTAACAAGATGCAATAAGACTGAGTACAAACCCTCATATCACAGCTGAATGTAGGTACCCAGTAGGAGGGAAAGGTTCTGGTCATAGGCAAGAGTCAGGCACCTCCCACGCCCACTGTTGGAAGTCCCACAAGAACACCAAGCTACACAATCATAAGGTATATTAAAAAAAAAAAAAACCCAGCCCAGACCCACACAGGCTCTGTGCTTATCTTTTCAGTCTCTCTGAGCCCCTGTGCGCCCTGCTTAGCTGATTCTGTGGCCTGTGTTCCCATGGTATCTTGGGCCCCTCTAGCTCCTACAATCCTTCCTCCCCATCTTCTGTAAGGTTCCCTTGCTCCACCGAGTTAAACAGCACATTCTTATTTGGGCGTGTTTTATTAGCCAGTGATTCTTGATTATTATTTCAAAAGCCTTAACAAAGTACTCCAAACATATTTTCTCTTAAATTGCCCAAATAAAGTATTTCAAGCCCCATCCAAGTTTATCAAGAATGTTATGTTCTTGTTATAATTAAATCTTTTAAAAGTGCTGTTACCTGGATCACAGGAATGATGTAAGACCGTGAACTCTTAGAGCAGAGCATGGGCATATGTTCTCTCTGAGTAAGTTGAAATTTAACTTCCAAGGTCATGGAATTAGGAAGTAGGGCCTTCAAGAGGTGGTTAGGTCATGTGTTGTGTGATATTTTGATTACATTCTGACAGTAAAGTTTGCTTTGAGTCAGAGGGCAGAGCTAGCCACTAACTGACCAAAATTAACCATAGAGGTTTTGGAGGACTGAGGAGACAGGAGGTAGTAAGGCAGGGTTGAGAGGAGATCTCAGCCAATTGAGATGGAGGAACGAAGAGATAGGAGGTCACTGGCGGCTTCTCTGCCACTTCTCTGGTCATTCAGGTTCTTACCCCGATATCTGACTCCCGATTTTTTATTGACAAAGAATAATTAGATAAATGCATCAGTCATGAGGCACAGTCATCATGGAAAGGATTAGTGCTTTCATAAACAGACCCTAGAACACTAGCTTGTCTCTTCTACCGTGTGAGAACACATCAAGGAGGCACTGGTTATGAACCAGGAAGCAATTCATCACCAGACATCAAATCTGCTGGCACCTTGATCTTGAACTTCCCAGCCACAGAAGTACAAGAAACAAGTTTTTGGAAGACAGCTATGCTCACCACTATACCACCAATGCAGAGGGTTTTTTTTTTTTCCTTTAAAGATTTATTTATTGTGTATACAATGTTCTGTCTGCATGTATATCTACAGGCCAGAAGAGGGCACAAGATCTCATTACAGATGGTTGTGAGCCACCATGTGGTTGGTGGGAATTGAACTCAGGACCTCTAGAAGAGCAGTCAGTGAGTGCTCTTAACCTCTGAGCCATCTCTCCAGCCCCCTAAATCCACAAAGATACCTCCACAATAGACTACTGGCAATGGTTGAGAGAAAGCCCGAACTGACCTACTCTGGTGATAGGATGGCCAAACACCCTAATTGTCATGCTAGAAATCTCATCCAATGACTGAGGGAACCGGATGCAGAGATCCACGGCCAGGCCCCAGGTGGAGCTCCAGGAGTCCAATTGGCGAGAAAGAGGAGGGTTTGTATGAGCGAGAATTATTGAGACCAAGGTTGGAAAAAGCACAGGGACAAATAGCCAAACGAATGGAAACACATGAACTATGAACCAATAGCTGAGGAGCCCCCAGATGGATTAAGCCCTCTGGATAGAGACAGTTGATTGGCTTGATCTGTTTGGGAGGCATCCAGGCACTGGGACCGGGATCTGTTCTCAGTGCATGTGCTGGCTGTTTGGAACCTGGGGCTTATACAGGGACACTTGGCTCAGCCTGGGAGGAGGGGACTGGCCCTTCCTGAACTGAATCTATGAGGTTGATCTCAATCCCCAGGGAAGTCTTTGCACTGGAGGAGATGGGAATGGGGGGAGGCTGGGGGGGGAAAGGGGCAGCGTGGGAGGGGGGAGAATAAGAGAATCTGTGGCTGATATGTAAAATTAAATTAAATTATAATTTTTTTAAAAAAAGGAAAAAATTTATATAAAAGAAAGGTAAAACAACAACACCAATAAATAAATAAATAAATAATAAATAAATAAATAAATAAATAAATAAATAAATAAATAAATAGAAATATTTTGTTGTTGACGAAACATATGATCCATGGTATGTTTTTTTAAATAAAATCCCCATCAGACTATGAACTACATCAGCATCTGTAAAGTCTGAAACTGACCCTCTAATGGTGGACTTCACAGGGATTTCATAGTACTTTGAACAAAGAAATCTGACTGGAGAATTGAGTTGTCACTGAGTACTCAGGATCATAATGAAGCCGACTCCACCCCTGTGATGTAACTGTGAACTTCCCCTTCACCTGCAGCAGGTGGATGGCTAAGGTCGCCACCTGGAGTGATGTGTTGGCAGAGGGCCATGGCAAACATGAAATGATGGCATTATTTATTAGAAAATATGTTCATGCTTCACCATTAAACCTGGGAGCCACTTTTGTGTTAAAGGCTTTTTTCAAAATAACTCGTCATGGACTTTAAATGAGACTGTAATTCAAAATGAACACTTAAAACCCATAATTAATACTGAAAAAGTATGGTCCATTGTAATAGTGCCAGGCACCCTTTTAAGTGCTTTTAAAACATCACTTATGTATGCACATCCATCATGCCCTTTAATTCTTTACTTCAGCCCTAAAAGGGAGGGATACTGTTTCATCCTAATTTTAATAGATAAAGAGATCAAGGCTTTAATATCTGCAGTTTTAAGAACCACCCAGTGGAAATTTACGATGACAGTCACTCAAATGATGGGTCATTCTCAGGAAAGTGTTAAGACAGTCTAACTGAACCAAAATACAAATTCATTCTTAAATCCATTGTAGGAAATATAGATTCACAACACATCAACACACATCAAATTAAATTAAAGGTAAATGTTAGTCAGCCTTGGTGGAGCATGCTTACAGTTCCAGTGCCTGGAAAGCTTGGGAAAAAGAATTGCACTTGAAACTAGCCTCGGCTACACAAGATGTTCCAAGCCAGCGGAAAGATTATATAGCAAGTTCAAGGCTAGCCTGATAAGTAGTAAGTCTCTGTCTCCTGCCTCAATAGAAAAAAAAAAAAAGCAATGAATGTTGTGGGTCTCACAGTTAAATTTATACATAGTTTATGAACATGCTAGGCCGTGAGTCTAAGAATTTTGTACTTGTTTCTAATCTGGGATACACTTAAATATTTTTAAGTAAACTGTGGAGGGTCAAAATAGTTTTCTAGCATCCACATTTATTATGCTTGAGATCCCAGTGGGCAGCAATTCTCTCACATACTCACTTGGGACTAGCAGCAGTCATCCTTCAAGGCCCAAGACAAGTGATTTTTTTCTGTCACAAATTTTGACTTTAGAAAACTATGAAAGCACACACCACTCACACTACAAGGCAAGGTCCCAAAGTTTTGTGATCCAGGTCACTTATTCCAGACTTACCTGGGATTTATATCACACACAGATCCATCTTCTAGGCAAGTGTTTGTCTCTGAGAGGTCCAGAACTCTGTTTTCCATGCCTGTTTGCACTCTGTGAGAACATGCTGAATTTGGCACACGGGAAGTACTCAATGAATGGTTATTAAATAATAAGCTTTAAAAAAAAAACTAACCAGAGATGAAGACCACCCAACACAGCAAACCCACCTGTCCATGTGTCTCACGAGGTCCTGTTGGGCTCCACCAACTCATCGCAGCATCCCTCCTGGGTGTGTGCTTGAGGGGTGCCCGAGTGCCTATAAAGACGGACAGGCGGCATGCTGATGAACAGGTACCTTGAGTAGCTCATTAGTCCCTCTTCACATGCATTAGAGAACCTACCACTGTGTCCCATTTTGCTCAATTATTGTCTCTGATGTTGACCAATCAGAACCTGCCTTCCCATCCAGTACAATGAGGTATATGACAGGCGTTTTTAATCTTCATTTCTCCCTGTGGTTACTGAGGCCCAAAAGATTTAAACCCAACGTCACCTAAGTTAGCACAGATAGAAAAATAGCTTTCAAGTATTTCTCATGTAACTTTGGCCATCTGGGTTCAAAGCTACAGGAACACACAACCCACATTTCCAATCTACCGGGACCTTCCTAAGCACTTAGACCACATTCAGATTCACACTGTGCTTCTGCAATGGATGAATAAGTGCATAACCTAATGGCTCTAGGACCCATATATAGAGGACAAATACCCACATACTGTGCCCTACAGTTACAGAAAAGAGAGATTAGCTTGTGCTGCTTTGTGGAGGAAAACCACAAGGTGATTCATGAGATCATTTGGAGATGATACAAGACTCTGGAGAGATTCTTGCCAAAAATGGAATACCACAATATGCTCTAAAAGAAGCAGCAATTGGTATCTTGGCTCATGAGGCAGACAATATGGGAAGAGCCTGACACACCACTTGGCTCTGTGCCTGCACACTCCCTAATTCTCTCAATAAATGTAACAAAAGCCTCCAAAGAAGATAGGTGAGATTTTTCCTCATGGCCTCAGAGCAGAGACTCTCCTCATCAGGTCCTCGGAGGATACATGGGCAAAACTAAACCCGCAGAAGATACCTCCCCCTCTTTGTAAACTCCCTTGGTGGAGGGAAGGAAGATCCCAGACACCATGCACAGAGGAAGAGGCAGCCCTGCCCAGTAGGGCTTGGGTGGTACAGTGGTGAGTACAGCAGAAGCTGAATCCAGCAGTGTCAGGTACCAATAAACGCTTTGGTTCTGGGCACACCTTACTTTACATAGCCTGTCCATCTTTTAGGAACTAAACCCTGACTCCTCCAGGCAATCTTGAAACGCAGAGTCCGATTTGGACACTATTTTCTATTCTTCCAAATTTATCTGCTTCAACTTCTAAGCATCCCACCTCATCTTTGACATTTTGTGGAAAAGTCACTCCGAGTGAGTTTATCTCTCTAGTAGATGAAGGAAAGATATTTTCTTTGAATTATATCTTTCTCTTTTGTTGTTTCACAGAGCAGTAGAAGTCTGTCAGCTTGTTAGTATACCTCTAAGGTAAGTCAAAGTCAAGGGCTGATGAGCACAGACACAGAAAACTAGTTACCCATCGCCCACTCTGTTGCCTCGTGTTTTCACTGATTCCTCCTCCCACTTCTATCTACATGTCCATTGTTGTCCTGTCCACTAGTCACCAAGGTGCTTCACGACACACACCTGCACACTTCTAAAGGAGAAACCAACTCGCAGTGAATTAATACGTGAATACCTTTTCTCACCCTGATCTTTCTTTAAAGACGTGTTTTCCATCTTTTGTTGTTTAAGAATAAAACACAGCATTGAGAAACAGAGCTCCCTAAACACTCACACTTGAGAACATTGGACGCAGGTAGACTCTTGGGCGGGTGACCACCTGCTGTTCCCCATCCCTTTATTCAACACAAACCCAACTCTTGACTTCCTCTCTGCAAAGAATTCTTTCATCTTCCTTATTTTTTAACTTTTTCAAAAAAGAAAAAGGAAAATCTCATTAGCACATTTTTGCCTTTTCCCAAGAATGTTACTGAGTTTTAGCCATAACAAAGGAATTCTGTGACCAGCTATTATCTTTTAATAATTCTCCTTTAGTCTGTAGGCGGAATGAAATCATCAAAACAATCTTTGAACCCCCGAAGACAACAACAACCATCATGAGCAGACCCAGAAAAATGCATCTGGTGGATATTCCCTGAGTTATGAAACAGTAACAGTGAGCCACCATGCAAGGCCAAGATGAAGAGATTGTTAGGAAAGAAATCATCACACACACAGCCATAGCCCCTCCCCCCTTTTTACAGTGGGCCACATAAACTCATTATCCCCGTAATGGCCACTGTTTTCAGGCTCTCCTACTGCCCCTTTCTCACTCAAAAGATTCTACAGTCAGCAGCTTCATAGAAAACCCTCTCTGTGCTGAGAATGGGTCTCTGTGTCTTTTCAGAATGAATGAATGGCCATGAGCAAGACTTCTTCTGTAAGGAACTTGGAATGCTGTGGTTCAGGGTTTCAGTGTCCCAGTCACCAGTAATTTACCAGAACTCATTTACAGAGGCCAATCCAGGAACTAAGCATGTGATGAAGTCAGGAAGTAACTTTTTTCTTCTTTAAGAATATATATATATATAGTCTTATGAAATAATATATCAGGATTTTCTAATGAGACTAAACCAATACCAATATGGCATATAGTCATTCCTTGGTATTCATGGGGAACTGGTACCATGGACCCCCTTGGATACCAAAATCTGTGAATACTTAAGTCCTTTGTATAAGATGGTATGGTATTTGCATATAATTCACATGCATCCTCCTGAACACTTTAAATCATCTCTAGGTTACTTTAATGCCCGATGGAATGTAAGAAGTTGTGCATTATTAGAAAAGAATAGTAAGGAAAAATAAATCTGTACATATTCAGTACAAACACGAATTCATAAATATCTCCAATACGTAGTGAGTTAAATCTGGTAGCATCGAACCTGTAAGGAGAAGATAGATAGATAGTAAATAGACAGATAGATGATAGATAGATAGATAGATAGATAGATAGATAGATAGATAGATAGATAGATAGATAGATAGATAGATAGATAGGA